TTTGAATATTACATGTTAATAACTTGATTGGAATTATAACCTTGAGTTGACAGTTTGATACTTTGAAAATTTTGAGCCAGCCCTACCCCCAAGGGCTGTAGGGTGGGGCTCAAGGGAGTCAGTGTGCTAAAATTTCTTCATTTTCCTTGTTTAGAATCAGAGGTGCTAGTTTCAAATCCTTTTTAGTCTGAAATCTGTATGCTTGATATTGAATAAGGTGGTTTTATTGTTTTTTGTCACTTTGAATAATATTTCTGTTCATGTTAAAAACGAAATCAACTCTCTGTATAAATATATCAGGTGACCGTTAAGGCCCATGGGCCTCTTGTTTGAATTAAACACTTGTATTTTGCCTGTAGCTATACTTTAGTCAACTTTTAAGATTACAAGTGTGTGATAAATACCAGGTGAGCGGTGCAGACCAATTGGGCCTCTTGTATTTTGGATGGAGCAGATAATTAAGTATGATGGAAGCAATTTACTCCTCTCCATACCCACATGCTAGTCCAGAGGTTAATGCATTCATTTGAAGCAATACATCTATTCTCTCTTGATCGACTGTTTTTAGTAAATTATAATAAATAAATTGTTTAATATTTCAAGAACAGTTTTAGCTGTATAGGTGTAGTCACTCCGAAACATCTTTTTGTAATTGAATCGTCACTTGTCTTATATTTGCATTTCATGAACTTGTTTGCATCATTGTGTTGATGATTTTTTCCATGTCATACCCAACAATAAACAGTTATACTACAGTTAAGGTGATCATTTAGGCCCATGGGCCTCCCTTTCATAATGCAACGATACAATTGCAGTATTGTTTGGATAGGTTAATGGGGATGACCTTGTAAACGGATGAGGTCTGCAGCCTTATACTTTAAATTGTATTCTTTACTGTGTGGTATCCATCAGTCCTTTATCTAATGTCAACATCTTTAAATAAATACTTCTGTTATTCTGAGTGCCCACGTTGATTTTCATTAGATAGTGGCTGCCGATTTGGGCCTTCTGGTGCCTGTCACTGTTATGTTTTATTTTTTCTGCTGGCTGTCACTGTTAGGTTTTATTTTTATAACCCCCGCAACGAAGTTAGGGGGGGTATATATATACTGGAATCAGCTTGTCTGTCCGTAGAAAAAGTTTGTCAGGACAACTCCTACTAAAGTAATGGACCAATTTCAAGGAAACTTTCAAGATATGATAACTACCACCTGAAGGTGTACATCTAGGTAATTCTTTTGATGCTCCCACCATAAAATGGAGGGGCATATAGTGTTGCCAATGTCTGTCCCTTCCCGTCCCGATTCATTGTAAACACCTGTCCAATTGCGTCCCGTTGCGTCCTGTCGCGTTCCGTCCCGATTCAATGTAAACACTTAGCAACTTCATTTGTTGACAGATTTTGGTCAAACTTTATACAAAGGTACAACCCTCCATAAAATGAGGGGGCATATAGTGTTGCCCATGTCTGTCCCGTCCCGTCCCGTCCCGTCCCGATTCAATGTAAACACTTAGCAACTTCATTCTTTGACAGATATTGGTCAAACTTTATACAAAGGTCAAGTATGAGTATACCTCAGACATCGTTGTGTTTCAGGGATCAAAGGTAAAGGCCAAGGTCACACGTATACTTGGTATATAGAGAAAATCATCAACTGATTCAATTTAAACACTTAGCAAGTTCATTCTTTCATGAATTTTGGTCAAACTTTATATAAAGGTCAAGTATGGGTATACCTCTGACATCCTTGTGTTTCAGGATGGTAATAACATACAGAAAAAACATATGAATATTAAAATCAACTTATCAACTTTTAGTGTAGTACCTTGTGTGTGTGCATGTTTCAGGGTATCAAGATCACAGTGGTTGTAACTTTTATAGAACACTGAAACTAATTTCACATGGCAGCATGGGCATTTATGTCTTACAGATATTTTCTAGTTTCATTCCGTCCTTTTTTTACAAAGTTATGGCCCTTTGTTGAAAAAAATCTTTGTCCGGACAACTCCTCCAAAACTACTGGGCCAATTTCAACCAATGTCTTCAGATTTGATAACTATCACCTGAAATTGTGCATCAGGGTATTATTCTTTTCGTTCGGACCCTTTTTACGGAGTTACTGCCCTTTGTTGGAAAATGCTTGCCCTGACAACTCCTCCAACACTATGCTCCCAATTTCAACGGAACTTTTCAGATATGATAACTACCTCCTAAAGTTGTGCATCCAGGTTTCTTTTCCTACCCTTTTTTATGGAGTTATGGCCCTTTGTTGAAAAATCCTTGTCCTTACAACTTCTCCTAATCTACTGGGTCAATTTCAAAGAAAGTTTACAGATATGGCAACTGCCCCTCCATGTTGTGCAATCTAGTGGTACTTTTTCATTCCGACCCTTTTAAAAGTAGTTATGGCCCTTTGTTGAACAAACCTTTATTTGCCCCCTAAATTACTGGCCCAATTTCAATGAAAATTTACAGATATGGTAAATACCTCGTGCATCAGGGTAGTATTTTTTTCATTTTGACCCTTCTTAAGGAGTTATGGGCCTTTGTTAAAAATCTTTGACCTGACATCTTTTCCTTAACTACTAGGACTATGTCACCAATAATGGTTCATCTGGGCTAACAAGATTTGGTTTGCAAGTATGTTTTGGCATTGAGGGGGAGTACAGGAAGTATGTGAGTGACCTATATACTTAAATAAGTGTACACCTCAGCCAATAAAGAAATCATTACTAGTGGGAGACTATATTGCTTTGCCTTAGTAAGCCTTTAGCTTACAGTTCTGGTTTATATAGGAGCAGGGGCTATTAGTTAGCCTTTGGCTTTCATTTCTAGTTTCATTCTGACCCTTTTGTACAAAGTTATGGCCCTTTGTGGAAAAAATCCTGATATTTTTTGTCTGGACAACTCCTTCTAAAGTTATGGATCGATTTCAATGAAAATTTGCAGATATGATAACTAACGCCTGAAGTTGTACATTCAGGTATTATTTTTTCATTCTGACACTATTTTACAAAGTTATGGCCCTTTGTTGAAAAATCCTTGTCCAGACAACTTCTCCAAAACTACTGGGCCAGTTTCAATGAAAGTTTTCAGATATGATATATACCACTTGATGTTGTGCATCCAGGTATTATTATTTCAATCTGAAATACTTTTCCAGGTACAGTTGTGGGATCGCACAACATTACACGATGTGCGGTGTGCGCACGATGTGTGCAAGGTGTGTGAACGATGTGTGCACGAGGTGCGAACAATAACAAATTGGATGATCAATGCTTGCGCATATTTGTGCGGATGATCGACGAACGTTGTGCGATAACAATCGCGGTTGGTGTAAATTGAGGAATGGCTTAACAATAAATACGGTTTCCTGTTTATTCAAGCTACATCTATAAGTTTATCTTTCTGTCTATACTTTCTTAAATTTAGAAATGATGATTTCAATATTTTTAAAGAACCTTAATCGACACATGTAAAATTACAACACAGTCTCGGCAACACAGGTAAACATAGCCACTTTGAACCTGGACCGTAGTTTTCCCCCGCCCGGGGCACTTAAGTACCTCGCCAAGGTGTGAAAATCAGGTGGAAGGGTGCCAAACCAATACTTGACAGTCTAATGGTCACTGTATACTGGTACACGCATTGTAAAATTGTACATAATCTTAATTATAGAGATGAGAGAATTACAGTAATATATATGCAGTGTACATTATTGCATACGAGCTTTCCGTATTTATTTCATTCTGTGATATTGATCAACAAATTGTACCAAATCGCACAGGTGTGCGGAGAGAAGCGCACAACGGGGCGAACGATTGTTAAGTCGCACGGTTGTGCGCACCATGTGTGGACGATGTGTGGGCGGTGTGTGAACGATGTATGCACGGTGTGGGCACGGTGTTTTTGGTACGTTGTGCGGTCACACAACTGTAACTCCTCTAAGACTATGCGGCCAATTTCAACTAAAGTTTTCAGATATCATAACTACCACCTGATGTTGTGCATCCAAGTATATTTTTATGGAGTTGTGGCCCTTTGTTGAAAAATCCTTTGTCTGCCTCCTTAACTACTGGGCCAATTTCAATTAAAGTTTACAGATATGGTAATTACCCCTGACTGTTTTTAAGGAGTTATAGCCCTTTGTTAAAAATCTTTGTAGTTACATCTCTTCCTTAACTACTAGGATGATTTCAGCAAAACTGGTTCAACTTGGCTAACAAGATTTAGTTTGCAAGTATGTTTTGGCATTGGGAGGGATTACAGGAAGCATGTAAGTGACCTAAGTAATATGCTTAAATAAGTGTACAGCTCAGCCAATAAAGAAATTGTTACTAGTGGGAGACTTTGGATTGCTTTGCAATGCTTTGCCTTAGTAAGCCTTTAGCTTACAGTTCTGTTTTATATAGGATCAGGGGGTATAAGTTAGCCTTAGGCTTACAGTTCTGTTTTATGTAGGAGCAGGGGTATAAGTTAGCCCGAGGCTTACAGTTCTGTTTTGTGTAGGAGCAGGGGTATAAGTTAGCCTGAGGCTTACAGTTCTGTTTTATGTAGGAGCGGGGGTATAAGTTAGCCTTAGGCTTACAGTTCTAGTTTGCTTAGACTTACATTGAGTTTATTGATCATGATATGATATAAAATTAAGGTCAGCTTGGATACCATTCTGAGATATGAGGGGTAAATTAAGGAAACGGAGACCCTTCTGGGATATGAGGGGTAAATTGAGGAAGCTAAAACATGAGTAGCCCCAATTGCACAAAACTCATTGTTATTTTTAGAACCTTTCCTCATAATTTTGATGTGTAACTCTAAAGCTGCAGATAATGAACTGACCAAAAAAAGTAGCACATCGTTGATTAGTAGGTCATGGTGACTAATTGTTGTCATATAAATTGGCTAAATTGTGTCAAATATACAGTCTATTTCATGTGGTAATAAACAAGGACCATACAATTATCATGACAAATTCTTTTTAGGAGTATCTTAACCTAATCTCAAGAAATAGGGGTTGAAGTGACCAGGGTGGGGGTGAGGAGTTGTCAATGTTCTTCCTTTCTTTTTTCTTTTTTTTCTCTCTCATATATTTAATCATAATTGCTGTTTTTTATTTTATTTATTTTGGACAAAGGCCAGACAACAACTACAATTTGTATTGGGGGTTTTCACCATCAGGTGAAAGACTAATTGTTTTTGTTATGTTTCTTCTTATTCTTTTGCCATAATTCTGTGGCGTTCTAATCTTTTGATTGGTAGGATATGTGTTATGTGTTTCAGCTATAGTGTAGGGCATGGTTAGAAGGTGTTAATGCCAAATTTTCAAGATAGTCAAAATCCAATATGGCCACAATGACGTCATAGGTCAAAATCTTAAAAATGGCCAGAACTCAAAAACTTTGGAGTATACAGCATTCATTTGTAGATATTCTTTTGGGGCTAACTTTTCCTTGTTACATGTTGATACAAAAAACGTCAATAAACATCCTCGCTGTTGGGTCAAAGGTTACACATTTTTTCAACCTTTTTTTCCCCATGTTTTTTGAAAAATTCTTTTTGAAGTCGATCGGGAATTCCATCCTGACGCCATTTTGAATATTTCCTTTGGTTTTATTGAAAAGCTTACAGTATTTAAAAATCTTTTTGTTCTGATGTTGTGCTAAGTAGATTTTATCCAGTCTATGTTTTTATGTTTGACCATACCATCTACCAAATTCCTGATAACTTTTATGTTGATCAAAAATCAAAGATGGCAATGTTGCATGATGTCATATCTGTTTTTTCCTCAAACTGCAATAACCAATTTACGAATTAAACCATCAAATTCATCTTTGGATGTGTTATGAAGACCAACAATGCAAAACAATTTCTTGGGAAACATTTTTGTATCAAAGGTCAACTTGTGGTTTTCAGGAGGGGTCAAAGTTCAAACGTACTATTTTGGGTATTAAACTTTGTAAAGCTTGTTCTTCAAGGACTAAAGTCTTGTTATTTGATCTGTAGGATGCTGTTAATATCGGATTTGAGAAAAATGATGGACCTTGATTTACTTTCAAGGTCACAGATGTCAAATGTTCAAATTTTTAAAAGCATAATATTTCAAAAACGGTGTTAGGTATTTACATTATATTATGGTATGATTTGTAGGATGCTCATGCACATATTTTCCCAGGAAACATTTGGTGTCAATGGTCAACTTTTGGTTTTCGATAGGGGTCAAAGTTGAAATGTGCCATTTCAAGAAAAATATCTTTGAAAAAGTTTATCTCAAGTTCTTCTTTATATAGAGTCTTGATATTTGATCTTTATACATGCTCAAGTGATTGGCTATCAAGTGTTAAAGTATGATCGACCTTGATTAACTTTCAAGGTCACATGGATCAAACATGTCAAAATATTCAAACAACCTCTCAAAAATTAATAAAGTAAGAAGCCTTGGTATATAGTATTTAGCAAGGAGCATTCTGGAACGAAGGCCTTTAACATCATTTCAACGAATGACTTTGATTTACATCAGTGACTGCCAAAATCAGTCTTCAATTTTTTTAAAATTTTGGCATTGTATCAGAACTTTCAGTACTTTGATTCATTTTAAACAAAAATCAAAGCATTATCCTTTTTGTCATAGAAGGTAATGACCATGAAGATAAAAAAGGTTAGTGATCAAAGAACAAGTTAGTCCTAACGTTGAAAAGCCCGTCAAATTGTTATCAACAATTTCTAGTTTAGAAGTGTATCTGACTTTTAGATATATTAGTCCACATTAAAACAATTGTATCAGAATACTTACATTTTGATATATAGCAAGTAAGTAACACATGAGATTTGTCTGCCATTACTTTGATCGAGTTCAGAACCAGAAGTCTACAGTACAACAATAAGTGATTGAAGTATGCATGCAAGAGTATTATATTCCTCTATGGTATTGATGGGCGTTTTGGATAACATAATTAGATATGTAACCACCCCCTGGCACGCACCTTACATTTTTGAGTAGAATGTTCATAAACTTATAATGTAGCTGGTGATATGTTCTTGCTTCATAGTGCTTGTAATACCTGGCAATTGGACTTGCATTCTATATTAAGAATATCTTAGATACTAGTTTTACACAAAGCATCTCTTAGCAAAGGAGAATCATTGTTTTACAAATGAGGGGTATGCATAAAATGGTACCATGAAAAGGTTAAGAATTCTTTACTTCAATCATACGCTGGACAATTACTAAACCAATACTATAAATCAAAGACCCTCACAGTGATTGTGTACAATAAAATGCATTTCAGATCAAAAATCCTGCAACGCTACAGTCAATGACAAATGTTGAACCACAAAATATTATCTGATGAATGATAATTGGTTATAAATTATTGTAGCAATATCATCCCTTTCTATTGTAGATTTTGGACTCAACTGTACGACTTGCCAACATCTATATCAAGCTTGTGTCATCAGGATGTGTGTTATTCTCAGAATGGAAAGCAACATTCTTATGTGACAGAAAACGACCTGCTTGTGCCTTCATAACCTTTGAAAAAGGAAATAAAGTTCCAGTCTTAAAAGGACGCAAAGCCACAGAAGATGATGATGTCAGCTCAATCGTTCCACAAATTGCTAAATTCATGGAGAAATGCTATGAGGAATGGCTGAAGTACATTGCAGACAAGAGAGATGAATACTATGAACTGAACTATCTGACCATCGACCAGATGGTCATCCTTCAGAGAGAGCTTGTGAAGGTTGGGACGGACGAGGAACCGTCCAAGTTGATCTTCCCCCTGCTGTCGGGGATAAAGAAGGACTGCAGTATGTCCGATCTTATTTCTGCCATGAAGGCTGCCCAGAGAGAGGTGGAAAGTATGGATGAAGATGAGGATGAAGAAATGCCAGAAATTTCCTCTGTGGTAGAGATGGGGGAAAAAGAGAAAGAACTTATCTTCATCAAAGAAGTGATGAAAATTGGTTACTCAGAAGCACTAGCTAGGAATGCTTTATGTCATTTTAAGACAGATGAAATTGACGATGGTAATAAGAAAGATTTGCAAATCAAATTTTAAAATTTAAACATAGCAAGAGCAACATGAAATCCATGGAGCACAGCAAGGCATAAAATGCCAAATTATTGTAATGGTTGTATAGGCAATGCTTGTTGAATGACTGAATATATTTCAATAGAACATATCTTAGATAAGAAACTTTTTATACAATGTGTCACAAGATCGGACATGTGTTGCATCATGTCTAGACAATTTGTTACATGTCATTTTTATGCTTGTTCATTTTAAAACTGTATGATTGCACGATGCTTCATTTTCATTGTGTTTCTGATATGATTATCATATATCAAAGAATTCCTCACTTCAGCTAAACTTGTTAATAATTTTGACTACCAATTAAAGGCAGACATCTGTGTAATAATCCACCATGGTTTTACTTGTCTGCAGCTCTGTTGTGGTGCATGGACAATGAAGATGAAATGGACACAGAAAGTGCCGTGGATGAGGGAACGGATAAAGGGGAGGCCAATCCCCAGACTGTAGAATACAAGGGCTGGACTAATACAGATAAATCCATTTCAAATGTCACTTCAGAGATTCTCGGAACCCTCAGCAACATTAATAAGTAAGCAGAAATTTTTGTATGGTATGTTATATATTTGCTCATTTAATATTACAGTAGAACTTCTCTAAACTGGCCATGCATGGGACAGAAACATTTATGGGTTTAATTTTAGGGAGGGTTTGGTTGGCAGAAGTTGATTTAGTTGATCCAGATTCGGTTATAGCTGCTTTGATGCCATTTGTACAGTACATGAACTTAACAGCTTGGGATAGATTTTGTACACGTGTTGTACAACCTATGTCACCCGCGACTATCTAATAACACCCGCGGGTCATACAAATCTCCCGCAATCCATCAACATGACCCAGAAACCCCGCTTCTACACTCATATTATTATCTCCCTACTTCCACATGTGTTAATACAGTAAGGTCTAAGATCTATCCAGTGTGATGATTTGGCTTGGTTTCATCTTTACTGTGTTGATGATACACTATATGTAAATTGTTTAAAACCCTTTCAGTATGGCTATTGTTTCTGATAATTATCAGTGAGTGCCCTGAGGCGTGCACAATACTTTTGAAGACTGTTGTCACAAGAAAATCTTATCAGTGATGAAGTACAAGATTGATCTTACACCATACAAGGACTGTGAAATTATATGGGCTAAAGGGAATGAAGTTGGCAGTAGAACACTCTATATCTGCTCCTTCTACCATCCAAAAACATTTGATGAGGATAGTATGAGACACTTTAGCTACTCCATTAAGGAAGCCACCAAAATAAATAATGCTGCCCTTATTATAGGTGGTGACTTCAATCTCCCTGGCTGGGACTGGAAAAATAAAATTGTAAAACAAAAAACAAACCATGTGTAAATGCACTACAATTTCGCAAACCTACTGGATGATGTTGCACTTACCCAAGTGATCGACCAATCCACCAGAAATGACAATGTCCTTGACCTCCTAATTACAAGTCTCCAAAATCAAATAATTCGAACAGAAATAACACCTGGTCTCTCTGACCGTGATATCTTCTTTGCAGAACTTAATCTTACTCCCCAAAAATACATCCAAAAAGCAAGAAACATTCCAGTATATAAAAATTCAAACTGGAATTCAATAAAAACAGAATGTATCAATGTATATAGCTATATATCATCAAATAGCAAGTGGGATGTTAACAAATTATGGGAGTATTTCAAAACTGAATTGTGCCACCTGATAAAGCAACACAACCCTCATAAAACAATTAAAACAAAACCCAGTCTAACTTGAGTTACTCCAGATATTAAGAAATATATCAGGAGAAGAGACAGATTATATAACAAATCCCCAAAAAATCTGGGTACATACAAATAAAAAGATGAGTACAAAGACCTGAAACACCACATTCAGAGAAAGCTCCAAACATCTTATTGGAACCATATTGAAGACATCATCACCCCAGAAAGCACAACAAATGAAAACAAGTTTACCAGTAAAAAACTGTTCTGGTCATATATAAAATCCAAATGGTCAGACCATAGTGGAATGACTCCCCTGAAAAGGGATGGTAAGCTAGTGCAAGACCCTACCAGCAAGGCCCAGGTACTAAACGCACAATTCCAATCTGCATTTACTACCTTGCACCAGGTGTAACATGCCTGCTCATGATTCATATCCCACCATGCCTGAAATTGTTATCCATGAAAGAGGTGTCATAAAACTCCTCCAAAGCCTCAGGCCCTGATGACATCAAACCTAGGCTCCTGAAAGAGCTTGCAACAGAAATAGCCCCCATCTTAACTCTGATATTCAAACAGTCATTGGCAACAGGTTTAGTTCCTCTGGATTGGAAATCTGCCAATGTGTCACCTGTATATATAAAGGGTCGAAAATCCAATCCAGAAAACTATAGGCCAATATCTCTAACATGTATCTATAGTAAAATCATAGAACATATTGTGGTCTCAGTATGTTCCTATACAGTTGGTGAAATACTGCGAATCCATCGACATCATCAGTCGGGTCAATCAGTCTCTTGACGTTTCAACCCTTGTTCAGGAACGTCCTCGTGATGTTTGGTCGACAGTGGCGATCAACTCACTGCCCATCAATGGATGGCTTCCAGTCTTTCTCCTCCCGTCTGTTCCACAACCAGCATGATGCCCGCTCGGCAGCCTCTGCTAGTCTGCGCACCGCCGTCTTGCATCTCTTTCCGACTACTCCCACAGCCTGCAATGGCTTTCTTTCTCTCATTGGCCTGGTCGCATCGCTCCTGCCAGGGCACAGTCAGCTCAGTGACTATAATCTGCCTGGATTCGGCAGACCATATCACCACATCCGGATGTAGCATTGTTGTTTGACGTCCGGAAACACCAATTTCCTCCTCAGGTCGACTCTCATCTCCCATATCTCTGCCCCTTCCAGAATGCCAGTGTTGCCTGATGTTGCTTTCGTCTCCTTCTCCCCTGCTTTTACAAACTGGATGAAGGATGGTTTGTGCTTACGAGGTGGTCTCTTCTTCCTTTCCACCTCGAGAACATCTGCCAATTCCCGAGGCACCTGGTCATGCCTCTACCGGTATCGTCCCTGTGTTAGCGCTGTCTTGCATGCTGAAAGGATATGGCCCATTGTACCACGTTCTTGACATAGCTGGCACTTTGGCTCTTCAACTAGTCCCCACAGATGAAGGTTCACTGGCGACGGTAAAATGTTGTATACTGACCGCAACAGGAACTGGATCCTCAATGGTTCATAGCGCCACACGTCTGTCCATGTGAGTTTTTGCTCTGGCTGCTTCTATCTCGTCCATGCTCCTTGCTTTCCTGGTCCCTTCTCGTTCTCTGCGAATTTCCCCCTGTACCAGAGATCTTTTTACCGTATCATCTGATCCTTCCCACGTCTGAAAAAATGAGTTGTCCCAAACCCTTGCCATCCTGAGCATGTTGCTCCGACGATGTCCCGGTGCTTGAGAGCTCCCTCTGCCTGCTCCACAGACTAGCTTGCAGACCATTTCCTTCCTGTCCTAGTCTGGATTCATGTGTATCTAATCTTCTCGTCCTTTGAATCTCACAGCGTCATCACTAGTCTGGCCTTTGTTACCTTGAACTCCTCCACCAAAGATGACAGTGGGAGTTGCAGTGATGATGTCCGGCTGTAGAGCCCAATGCTGGAGAAACTGTGTGGGACTCCAAGCCACCTCCGCAGGTAGCTGCTGATGGATCTTTCCAGTCCTTCCATTGTTGTCAAGGGAACCTCATATAGCATCAGGGGCCACATGAGTCTCGGCAGCAGTCCATGTTGGAAGATCCATGTCTTGAACATTCCTGGCAGGCCTGACTTGTCAATCTTCCTCATCCACTCAATTGCCTGCTTCTGCATGCTGTTGATGTTGCTGGTATCTTACAGTGATGCATCAAACCACTTTCCTAGGCACTTGATTGGGTTGTCCGCAATTGATGGGATCTCTTCTCCTTGTACTTTCAGCTTGAATTGTTGTGTCAGTCGTCCCTTCCTCATTATCATGCATCTCAATTTTCTTGCTTTGAATTTCATCCTCGTCCATGAGACTACCTCCTCCAATGCAGACAGAACCCATCTTGCGTGGACATGTGTGGTGGTAGTCACAGTCAGGTCATCCATAAAACCTCGATTTGATGGTTGTTAGATTCCTGATTCTGTCCTGGGCCCCCTGGTTTCCCGTCCTGCTGCCTTGATGATAAGATTCATCTCCATGACAAATAGAATGACTAATATGGTACATCCTGTCACTATTCCTTTCTCCATATTTTGCCAGGATGTTGTATCCTCCCCAACAGTAAAACGCACCAGGATTCCACTGAAGTAGTTTTGTATTATTCCCTTTATATGCTCCGGGATAAAGTAATGTTGTATGGATACTTCAATCAGCTGATGTGGTATTGTTCCATATGCATTTGCCAGGTCTAGCCACACTACTGTCAGATTCCCTCGGCTGGACTTGGCCTCTCTGATAAGTTGGCTTAGCACACTGGTATACTCCACACAACCTGAAAAGCCTGGTATACCTCCTTTCTGTATTGATATGTCAATGTATCCATTGGTCGTCATGTAAGATGTTATCCTTCTTGCCAATACTGCAAAAAAAATCATGCCTTCAACACATAACAAGGAAATTGTCCTGAACTGCCTGTTGTCTTTTGAGTCCTTCTCCTTTGGAACAAAACATACCTCTGCCTTCTGCCAACATGGTGGTATCTTCCCCTTCTTCCACACTTTCCTCAGTAACTGCCATAGTCCCCTCAACAGCTGTGAGCATTTCTTATACACTTAAAAAGGAATTCCACTTGGGCCTGGAGCTGAACCAGTTCTTGCCTTCTTAACAACATCTTGGATCTCCTTTCCAAGTTGGTTCTTTGGTGTCAAGCGGAAACTCTGGTGGCTCCTCTGCTTCCATCCGTGGATAGTTCCCAAGTGGAATGCCCCTATCTTCATCTCCATGCGTTTCTCTCAGGTGTCGCTCAATATCTGCTGTTGAACTATCCAAATGGCCTGATCTTTCCCCTCCCAGCAGAGTCTTTGTAAACGAATAATGATCCTTGATAAAGGACTCCCTTTTCCTTGCTCTATCCTTCCTTGCCTTCTGCCAACATCATGACACATGCCGATACACATAACATCTTGTATTCATTTCAACATGGATTTTGCAAATTTCGATCATGTGAAACTCAACTTCTTGAATTCATTGACATTGTCTTCAGGAACCTTGATGAAGGACATCAAACCGACATCTTGATCTTGGACTTTGCCAAGGCTTAGACTTTGCCAGTCAGTCATTCTTTACTAATCCATGAGCTTAAAAATTATGGTATAAAGGCCAATGTCACAAACTGGATTGAAGGTTTCCTGGTTAGTAGAACCCAAACAGTAGTAGTAGAAGGCGAGAAGTCTACCTCTATCAATGTCCATTCCGGAGTTCCCCAGGGATTAGTTCTTGGACCCATCTTATTCCTCTTTTTATAAATGACATCCCAATGGGTCTGAATGCTACAGTTTGTTTATTTGCAGATGACACTATTGCATATCTGGTTGTCAAGTCAAACAGTGATGCTGTAACATTGCAGGAAGACCTTGACAAACTGGCACTCTGGGAAAATACATGGAAAATGGCCTTGATAGTTTATGATGTCATGATAGTTTATATAGATTTACATAGATGCAATTTACAGTAACAGAAATACTCATAATGTTATCTTGTTCTAACAAACAGCCATTGCCTTTTAGTCTCCATTTTACAGGTGAAGCAAGCCAAACAGTATTTGAAAAGATGATCATTGTGGCTGTATACAGACAGCCTTGTAATGAATTTTATTTTAAAATCGAAAAAAGCAAATAATTAAGACACAAAAGGTGACAAGAAATGGAATGGCAGAAAAATATTATGATCTAAAAGAAGTGATTAGAGGTATATTTTTTTATGTATTTCAGAGAAGTGAATGTTGATCCTCTCATAGAAGACCTTAAGAAACTGTGGGAAAAATTTCTGACTTCCATTTCATCCAGTGTTTCTGACTACCTCAGTGTGGAGCACCTTGGCCTGATCCTGAGACATCTCAAAGAAAAGGGTACAATATTGTTACGATAGTGACCACACCAAATGGTCAGTGTAAACCAAACAAAAGGCACATCTCATTGAAACAAAATTGTCCTCGTTTACCAAATGTGGCAAATATCATATGACATTACGAGGTTAAAAGAAATGTACAAGATTCCTATGTAAGATTTTTAACATGAAGAGCAAAAAAGGTAAAATATCATCTATTGTAAATCTGATAGAGATCCTTTCGTGGTCGGTGCCAATTGCAAGATCCTTCTAGGATCTCTTGTTTATAACAGTTAACCAAATTTGTACTATTCCACCTGGAGTAACCAGATTTGGTATGCAAGTATCTCAAAGGATGGCAAAGTGCAGAATACAAGAATTATGTCACTTTGACGTAAGTGAGCTTTAAGTTCAAGAGGTTGTGGCCTTTGACTTCAACCTTTAAAAAAGTGTGTCTGGGGCATATCCTTAATACCATTTCACCTAGAGTTACCAGATTTGGTATGCAAGTATACATCTGCAAAGAGTAGGTCACTGTGACCTATGATTTGACCTTTGACCTTATCCTTTGAATAAGTTTGTCTGGGTCATATCACCAGATTTAGTATGCAAGTATATATAGACTGGTGTAGTGTGGAATACCAGAAGCAGGTCACTGTGACCTATATCCTGATATAGGTATACAGCTTGGTAAATGAAGAAATCATTACCAGTGAGGGACTATAAAATTGCCTTGCAATACTTTGCCTATTTCAAAAATGTTTTCAAAAGAACAATTCCTACAGTTCCTCTGTGATTTTGGTGGTATAACGAGTTTAGCGGTATATCGGGTTTACTGTTTTGAACTTATACTTTAAAAATATAATTATAAACTTCAGAATACATTTTTTTCAAAATTGTAATTTAATATTTCGTATTCATCGATGGTCGTTTATCTTGCCGTAATTTGTCCAATTGGCTACACAAAATTCTGTTTCGCTAAACATTTGTGAATGTCCGACTCTGTTGTAGATTTCTTGTGTTATAAATGTTTGCTTCAGCATTAGTAAAGGGGGTGGACCTATGTTAACTTCCGTGTTATTGTCATCTTCATTGTCCGAGTTTGTGTTTGGGGACAGTTTTGATAATGTCATCGTCGGCGACAAGTTCACTGGGTGTGAGTTGTTTGTCTATATCTACAAAGTGGTATTGAGGTCGAGCTCATCCTCATCTCTCTCGAGTAAATTATGTAAATCTACATCCGGGTTCTCTGGTATCACAGTTCACGATTTATATTGTCTCAAGAGTCACAGAGTCCCATGCGATTTTCACAAAATGTACGACAGTATCTAAGAAAGCGCAGAAGTTAGCTTTATTCATCATAATTTCTACAGTAAAACTTACCTGTAGAAAGACAACAAATATCAAGCTATGGTTTAACAATTTCATGTACACAACCATACAGCTGATTACCTGGTCAGGCGGCAGTCACATGTAACAATACAATGTACACACGTACGTAACATTCCTGTCATGGGAATATATACCTATGCTCAACTCAAATTGGTGGTGTTTAACGAGGTCAAAATAGTGCAATTTTAACCATTTTTTTGGGGGGAATATGATGGTGTATGGCGGTATGTGGGTTTTTACATTACAACGGGTGCATTAACATAAGGGGAAATCCGTTCTGAGTAAATTAATGCTGGTATGCGGGTTTTGCGATTTAATGGGTGGCATTACAACAGGGTTTTACTGAACAGTGTTATGGTCTTTTTATGCCCCCACCATAAAATAGGGGGGCATATAGTGTTGCCCGCATCCCGATTCAATGTTAACACCTAGCAACTTCAATCTTTGACAGATTTTGGTCAAACTTATTACAAAGGTCAAGTATGAGTATACTTTGCACACTGTTGTGTTTCAGGGTTCCAAGGTCAAGGCTAAGGTCACTTGCTATATATAGAAAATCATCAACTGATTCAGTTTAAACACTTAGCAACTTCATTCTTTCATGGATTTTGGTCAAACTTTATGCAAAGGTCAAGTATGAGTATACTTTGGACACTGTTGTGTTTCAGGGTTCCAAGGTCAAGGCCAAGGTCACTGTTACTATATATAGAAAATCATCAACTGGTTCAATTTAAACATTTAGCAACTTCATTCTTTCATGGATTTTGGGCAAACTTTATATAAAGGTCAAATATAGGTATACCTCTGACATCCTTGTGTTTCAGGATGGTAATTATAACATACAGAAAAAATATATGTATATTAAAATCAACTTGTCAACTTTAAGTGTAGTACCTTGCTTGTGTGTGTGCATGTTTCAGGGTATCAAGATCAAAGTGGTTGTAACTTTTTATAGAACACTGAAACTAATTTCACATGGCAGCGGGGGCATTGATGTCTTACAGACGTTTTCTAGTCTTAATTTTTGATACAGAAATTTGTCAAGAGCATAACTCCTTTGCTATGCAAATTGTATCTTGTGAAGTTTATTTTCTCAATAAAACCCCATAACAATGCTCCAACTGTTACATCGTGGACTGTGTATTGCTCATAATACTTTTTATTCATATTGTCATCCTAAAAATTATTGCTTTATTTCTGAAAAGTTTCCAACTTCAGTCCCAGAAAATAAACTGTAATTGAATATTGTTTGTTTATGCAGCATTAAGAATAATGATTTTATTTGACATTGAATTGTTTTTACTATGATGTCATCAGTTTTTGTTTTTGTTTTTACTTTCAGACACATTTAGTGTCAATAGAGATTTCATCCCGGGATTTGAACAGGAGGTTCCAAACTTGATTCTTTGTCCCCAGAGTGAGTATATATTAACACACAATAATAAGATTACAGTAAATTTGTCTCCAGGGTGAGTAGATTAACAACCAAATAGTAAGTTTTTCTCCAGAGCACACCTGCCAACCCTTCCTCATGGGAGAACAAAATCTACTGCAACCCTCTTTGATTCCTCCATCATTATTTGTAAGGTGTAAAAAGTGATATATAAGAAAAATGCCTCCAAATGGATTACACCAAATATTAAAAGATCATAGAATGTTAATGGTATGTACAGTATGTTTTTTAGGTCACCTGAGACAAAGTCTCAAGTGACCTATAGCGATCGCCTTTTGTCCGTCGTCTGTCTGTAAACAATTTACATTTTCGACTTCTTCTCCAAAACCCCTGAACCAATTTCAATGAAATTTTTCAGAAACCGTCCATGGCCAAAGGTCAATAAAAGTATTGGCTGATTTAAATTTGGTCCCCAGCCCCAAAGGGTCTGAATGGCGAAGCCAAAAAGGGTCAAATTGACTAAAATTTCAAAACTCTTCTTCTCAAGACCCAGATATGGTAGAATCAAATACTTTTCATAGATGGAAGGGTCTTAAGGTGCTTAACCAAAATTGTGAATTTCATGACCCTGGGGTCTCATGTTTACCCCTGGGGAGGTTGTAAACTTTACTATGGTTTATATAGGGAAATCACATTATGGACCAACATTTGTTTAATTTCCGTTGGATATAGGGTAATTTAATTTGGGTTAGCATTATCAGTATTGGATAGCAGTTTGATGGTATGCCCATATCAGCCCTGACTGACCCCCAGGGGTTGATGGGTGGGGCCAAAAAGGGTTGAATTGACTGAAATTTCAAAATTCTTCTTCTCAAGACCCAGATATGGTAGAATCTAATACTCTTCATAGATGGATTGGTTTTAAGGTGCTCTACCAAAATTGAGAATTTTATGACCCTAGGGTCTCACGTTTACACCTGGGGAGGTGGGGAGGGGGCAACATTTATTATGGCAAATGATACTTTGAATATTACATGTTGATAACTAGATTGGAATTATAACCCTGAGTTGAAAGTTTGATACTTTGAACATTTTTAGCCAGCTCTACCCCCAAGGGCACCCAAAGGAATCAGTGTGCTAAATTTTCTTCATTTTCCTTGTTTAGAATCAGAGGTGCTAAATTCAAATACTTTTCAGTCTTAAATCTGTATGCTAGATATTGAATAAGGTTGTTTTATTGTTTTTTGTCACTTTGAATAATACTTCTGTTCATGTTTTAAAAACGGAAGTCAACTCTCTGTGTAAATATATCAAAACTTGGGTGACCGTTAAGGCCCATGGGCCTCTTGTTCTTTCATATTTCCACAAAGGTCTAGCTGTTCTCCTCTTGATCAGATCACATTAACAGGTAGAAGGAGACCATGCATACCAAGTTACACCTGGATTATCTTTAGGGACAAGAAATAGTAGTCACAAACTTAACAAGCAATATCTTAATAATATTAATTCATTTGAGATGTAACATGGCATCTGGTTGGTCAATCAAAATAAATGGCAACAGTAAAATCACGATATTCGAGGCTCACTCAATCCGATTGACTGAATGATAGAACACAGAAAAACAGCATTTTGAACAGCTCACCATTTGATGGTGATTAGATAACTATTCTGCATAATCTGAGACTCAAAAATATACAAAAAATTAGAAACTGTTGGAAACAATTTGATGTGCTTTTTACTGTTAGGACTGATTTGGTCTTTGATCACAAACATTTTTTAACCTCATGTTTTTAAACTTTTATAAAGAAAAGGATAATATGAACGACTGTACTAAAAGTATGCTTTGTTTTTCGTTTAATATAAGTCAAAGTACTGAAAGTACTGATACACAATGTTAAACTTCTAAAAAATTTAAGATGGATTTTGGCAGTCACCATTAAAATCACATTCAATGTATTTCAGGAACATTTATTGAAATCACGTTAAAGCCTTTCATTGATTAATGCTCCTTGTTTAAATATTTTGACATGTTTGACGCTTGTGACCTTAAAAATTGATCCAGGTTAATATTTTTTTCAAACTTGATCATATTACAGATATATATCAAGACTCTGGATCTTGTAGAACTTTAGAAGAAGTTTGTCAAAGATGTAACCTTGAAAAAGCACATTCCAAATTTGACTCTTATCGAAAGTTGACCTTTTCCACAAAAATGTTTCCTGAGAAAGGCGACTTTCAAATCATACCAGAATATAATGTTAATGCCTTAAACCGTTTTCAAAATATTCTGGTTTACAGAAATTTGAACTTTTTCAACATTTGACTTCTGTTACCTTGAAAGTTGATCAAGGTCAATCATTTCTATGCTCCCTGAAAATTTTCGAGGGAGCATATAATTCCCGTTTTGTCCTTCCGTCTGTCCGTCTGTCCTTCCTTCCATCCTTCCTTTTCATGTACGGAGCATATAACTTTAGCAAATATACCCATATTTGCTAAAATGTCGTGTGCGGAGCATAGCTTTGCCCGCATCCAAATTTAGGGTATGCAGACCCTTGATAATAGATTTATTGCCCTTTGCTAAAATATCAGACATATTTACATGTATGTATGTTAAAAAAAAAAAAAAATCTTCCAGACTCCCCATTTCAACATATTTTTACCAATATGTGTTATTTTTTAGGTTGGTCTAAAATCAAAGATGGCCGCCATCTTGAAAAACATTTTTTTGAATAAATGATCCTGGTTCCACCCCTGGGGGATAGTGAGGGTGGTGCCCCAAGAAAGAAAATTACCTAAAATCATGCTTTTAAGCACTACTCGTTAATGCCTAAAGTAGATTACAACAATTTCAGTATGAAACATCAATTAGAAACAATCACTTCTTATATAAATGAGGCAGGTTAAACCACCGTTGACAGTGGGACGGGGCCTTAAAAGGAGAAATCTATTCAGATTTAGGTTTATGAATGCTTTCTAATAGCTTTACTGACAAAAAGTTACCCACTGCTGACCAAAACTACCATCATGGGGAAACAAATTTTTAGAATGTTTCATTGAAAATTGAAAAGTTACCATTCTCCCTGCTCAGTCTTTGAAGTCAGATGACCGTTTAGGCCCATGGGCCTCTTGTTTTTATCTCACCTGGCCCGTCCGTCGTTCGTCCTGAGTCAACTTCTTCTGAATAACCAGAATGCCCAGGGTAATGATATTAGGCCAGGGACATGCTGGGATGAAAGGCTACCAAGTTTGTTCCATTGAATGACCTTGACTTATATTCAAGGTCACAGGGGGTCAAATATGTTGAAACTTTAAAACCACTTCTTTTGAATAACCAGAAGGCCTAGAGTGTTGATTTTTTGCCAGTATTATGCTGGGATGAAGGGTTACCAAGTTTGTTTTAATAAATGACCTTGACTCATATTCAAGGTCACAGGGGTCAAATAAGTGTTAAACCTTTAAACAACTTCTTCTGAATAATCAAGAGGCCTAGGGAGATGATATTTGGCCAGTAACATGCTAGGATGAAGGGCTACCTAGTTTGGTCAAATAAATGACCTTGATTTATATTCAAGGTCACAGGGGTCAAATATGTTGAAAACCTTTAAACAACTTCTTCTGAATAACCCAGATGTCTAAGGTATTGATATTTGGTCAGTAACATGCTGGGATGAAGGGCTACCACGTTTGTTAAAATGAATGACCTTGACTTATTTTCAAGGTCACAGGGGACAACATGTTTTAAACCTTTACACAACGTCTTCTGAATAACCGAACAGCCTAGGGTGATGATATTTTGTCAGTATAATTCTGGGATGAAGGGCTACCAAGTTTGTTCAAATGAAATACTTTGACTAATATTCAAGGTAACAGGGTTGAAATATGTGTAAAATCTTTGAACAACTTCTTCAGAATAACCATGAGGCCTAGGGTAATGATAATTGGCCAGTTAGATGCTTGGATGAAGGGCTTCCAACTGTGTTCAAATGAAAGACTTTGACTTATATTCAAGGTCACAGGGGTCAAATATATGTAAAACATTTTAACAACTTCTGATGAGTAACCGAACAGCCTAGGATAATGATATTTGGTCAGTAGCATTATATTCAACGTCACAGGGGTCAAATATGTGTAAAACCTTTAAACAGCTTCTTCTGAATAACCAAGAGGCCTATGGTGATGATATTTGGCTAGTAACATGCTGGGATGAAGGGCTACCAAGTTTGTTCAAATGAATGACCTTGACTTATATTCAAGGTCACAGGGGTCAAATATGTTGAAATCTTTAAATAGATTCTTTTGAATCAAACACCTTAATTTTACCTGTAGCTGTATTTTAGTCCACTTTTAAGATAACAAGTGTGAGATTAATACCAGGTGAGCGATTCAGGCACATTGGACATCTTGTTGAGTTAAGGTAACTTTTAGATTTTGACACATGACGTCATGGTGACCATATTGGATTTGCAATAACACTTTTCCATCATGCCATACAATATCCTTGTACTACTATAAATATATCTTCTACCAATCAAAAGATAAGAAGGCCACAAAATCATGGCAGAATAAGAAGAATAAGAGTAGCAAATACAATAGATCTTTTTGGTGAATAACCCTAAGTGCAAAAATAACACCCAAAATAAGATTCACCAAAATTAAACCAGTTTAAAAAGAAAAGTCTACAGCGATGCTTACATATCTGATAAATGGTAAAATGGATATTAAAAATCAGTTTAGCTCTAAGGGCTGGATAGCTTGCGTGTTTATTAAAGCCACCTCATCGAAAATTTGGTGACCTATAGTAATCAGCTTTTCCATCTGTGTGTCTGTCTGTCGATCTGTGTGTCTGTCTGTGTGTCGTGTGTGTTTGTCTGTCTGTCTGTGTGTTTGTCTTTGTGTAATGTGTGTGTGTGTCTGCCGATCTGTGTGTCGTGTGTCGTGTGTGTGTCTGTCTGTGTGTCGTGTGTGTGTCTGTCCAATTGTCTTTCTGTCTGTCTGTCTGTCTTTGTTTTTTACTTTCGGTGTGATATCTTATGGAGGAAAGGTAGGATTTTGAACAAACTTGGCTGCTGTATTACTTATCCAAGTCCATGAGTCTTCAAATTATATATTGCTGTTGCTTCTGCTTAGTGAATACTGGGGATATATACATTGTATGGTCAAACATATGGAGGGGCCCTTGCTGACCTGTCAGTGTTGTATAGTTGCTACATGATATAATCGCCCTGAAAATGTTAAATCTACTGATCACTTCTACATTATGTTCATGAATTGACCACTCCTATAGTGAGTTGGTTACACATAAATTCTCTACCTGGTTTGAATGAAAATTTCAGGACAACTGTCAGCATGTTTCAAATGATAGTATAAGATTGTGAGGTATATTATATTTAATGCATGATTATAAGCATTTAATGTAGATAATGATAGCTAAACATGTCACTTTCTTCAAAATTGTGTTCTTATATCTTAGCTAATCTGTTGTACCTCATAAGTACAGGTGAAATCAATTTCCAAACTTTAAGTAGCCTATTTTTTGTCCTTCATGTTTTCCCATGTTCCTCCAAAGCAGCTATGAGATGTTAGCTCTTTAACTACCAAACATGCAGCAAATCTCTGTTTACAAAATCATAACACAAAGACATGGGTTTTGGCGTAAATGGCTCACCCAAAAAACTGGACTGCCGAATTCATTTAATTAGTTGTTTTGTTTTCTTCTTTTGATTATTTTTTGAAGTGATTTCTCTTTCCTAATTTTGTTTTCTTTTGACTTTTATATTCGAAATGAAATACCTTTTTGTAAAGGTGCGGCCAATTAAAACCGCTACCAAATAAAACTTAAGCCGTCTAATTAAAGAAGCAGACTCCAAATCACCAAAGATAGATCAGAATAGGCTGGAGAGCAGGCTACCCAACCCTTACTTCCCTTATAGGAAGGGGGAGGTAGGTTTTCCTAGGCTCTGACCAGCTGGCAGTGTTGTCTCACCTCTGATCGTGCCCCTAGTTACATATATTTTTTGACAATATATATAAAAGACCATGGCTTTAACCATTAATAGGGAAATCTCCCTAATCACAATGCCTTAGATCATATAAACAAACTCTTGGTGTATGGCTGATGATTCTTGATCTTAATATTTATCACAAATTGTTCAGTATATATTAATTAAACATGATGAAGTTGAAATTTGAACATTAATACTGACTATTAAAATTTGATACCGTATAACTGGAAAGTATGACATAGATAACATGAATACGGACTAGTACATGGGATAGTATGAACATTGACTGGTAAAACTTAGATAATGACTAAAACATGGAAAATTTCAACAATCCTTGCATTGGCCCTTTCTAACCTAATGCTGTATATAAAACACTCTTCTTGAGCCAGTTAAAAGTTTTATGTAAACTTCTCTTAATTGTTATAAAAATTAATACACAATGCAATTTACAACCTACAGTATTAGTTAACATCCAAAACCTGCTCTCTGTTGTGCATAAGGGGAGGAGGGTGGGTTTTTATGAAGATTTTGAAGTCATATCAAAAATGGTATTTCCTTTTCTTCCTTTTGTTTATTTTTCAAGGGGGCCCTTTAGCCTTTTACCTTTCAACCAATGGGAATCCCCCATTCACTCTGAAGCATGGGCCGTCAAGGGGAAACCCAACTGTGGGGTCCCCAAAAGAATATTATTAAATGAAAACATTTTGTTGTCCAAAAAATCGTATATAAATATACTTTATAATTTTAATCTCTATCACAGTGGTATGCAATATACCACAATCACACTTGATTTATGTCGATCATATTAAAGCCAAATTGTATTTCAGATGATATTCTCAACACTGTATTGACCATCTACATGAATGACGGACAACAACCATTACCACAACCTGATGAAGTCCTCATCTGCTCCAGTCATACAACACTAGACCAGGTAAATAATCACTATGTGTTAATTATTGAGTTTATCTAACAAATCAAATGTCTGTGCTACTTAAATCAATGAAGATTCCCACTATATTACCATTTAAACACATAAACAGATAGAAACCAAAAGAAAGATCTGTTGGGCATGAAAAGACAAATGCATACATTCATGCCACCACAACTAGTTCCAGTCTTGCCCTAGCCTCCCTCGGTGAGGATTTAGTCCCTCAGATGCCCCTCATGCACAGCCTTTGGATCATAACATGGAAACCATACTTGCAAATGCTAGGCATGACCAGATGAATATATGGTCTTATGGTTCCAGTTCCACCCCTGGGGACTTAGCCCCTAAGTCACAGCATGGAAAGGGTTCAGATTCCTACCTTTTAACCATACAGATATGAAGAAAGGATTACATTAATTCTACAAGGATTGCCCAAAGAATCACACCCCTGCCCCATGGGAGTTAGTCTCCCACCCCTTAATTAGCTTATGTACAATTTATGCAAAATTGCTGGGGTTGAAGAGAAAAATATACTAATTAAAGATTACCTTATTTGATTTAAATGTTTCCTGGGCAAAAGGGACTCATCAATATGTAGATAAAAGGAATAGCCATACTAGATAGAAGGACCCCAGTCATTTATGGGTATACTGGTGTATATTCAAACTATCATTATTAAATGTTTGCCTGTTCTCAGCTTTTATTTATTGTACTCTTTAGTATGCATGTTTAATATTTGATCTATGGCCTCTTATTCTTAAATTCTTTCAGTTGGATATATTCTGGAGACGTGCTGTTTTCAACCAAAGTGGTAAAATCTATTGCCTGGCCAACTCTGACCTTTTAGACTACGAAGTCAGTGACAAGGGGGAACAATGTCTGAAGAGACACATGCAAACAGCAAAAGAAAAGGGTAAGGCTATCCTGTTTCCCACTGTCCATTAACACTTTCTTGTGAGTGCAACTTGTTCCACAGTTTTCAACAAAATGTTATGAAATTGTGTGTGTCGATGGTATTGTATACAATTAATATTTATCGTAATATTGGGATCCTGCACCAGTTTTTCCCCTTTGCATAACACTGACTTGTTTGTACAACCGATCACATACAGTTGTTATGTATTTGTTGTAGGTATCATATGAAAATATGCATATCTTAAAGTAGGGATCCTGCATTAAATTATAACAACAGTTATAGCCCTTTGCAACTTAGACTTTTTCCCTCGGCTTAAAAGGAAAGACGAGAGGCATATTTCTACATTGCACAGACATGCATTCCCCTTCACAAATTGCATTAATTTCCCTCAGGCTTTTAGCTCACCTGCCCAAAGGGCTTATGCCATGGCGAGGCGTCTGTCGTCTGTCACTCTGTCCGGTGTCCGTTGTCCGTCAACTTTTTCTTTAAACAACTTCTTCTGAAGAATGGACAGGCCATGAGTCATGATATTCAGCTGAAAGCTTTGTTGGTAAGAGCTGAACAAAGTTTGAGAACGAAAATGACCTCAACCTTTTTTCAAGTTCACAGAGGTCAAATATGTCACACACTTTAAACGGTGTCTTTTGAAGAAGTAAAAGTCATAGAGGGATCAAATGTGTTAACATATTTAAATCACTCTTCTCAATAACTTAGAGTCACAGGGTGATGACATTTGGGATTAAGGACTTCCAAGGTTTTTTTCAACTGAATGACTTTGTTAGACTTTCAAGGTCATTGTGGTTAAATGTGTTAAATTCTTGTAACAGGTTTGTTTGGAATAACCAAGAGTCCTAGGTAAGGATTTTTATCCTATAGCTTTATCTAAATCTAATTTGATATAGAGTATCCTTGGCCCAATATGTTTCAATTTTGTATAAACCATGCCCCCATCCCAATGGGCACAGAGGATGGGACCCAATAAGATAAGGGTGTTGCTGAGAGAAAGAGCCACAATTTGGAAATATTTGTAGTACAGTATAATATTTAATGAGAATATTTTGCTATGACTGCTTAAATATCCAAGTGAGCGATACAGGCCCTCTGGGACTCTTGTTATTGGCATACAATGCTTCACTTTTAGTACACTTGTTGCCTAATTAAGGGCACAGATTTAATAGATTGTAGATACAGTCAAACTTGGATGTTTCAAACTTTGCGGGCATCAGGAAAATTCAAAACATCGGGACTTCAACTCAAGAATATGAAGCATCAAGATCATGTACAATGTACATAAGACAGAATGTGGTTCTTATGTGACAAAACACAAGCTAAGAATTTTCATTTTAAAGGTATAATTATACATTTACAGAAATAAGAATAGTATGTTTATTATTAACAGTCACTGTGGTTTACATTGTGATCTTATCAAATTCAAAATTTCTTCGTTTGTCAAATAAATTTCTGACACCTGTACCTCCCTCGTGTTGATGTGGTTCATCATGTGTGCCATGTTGCTGAGAGTGATTCCCGTTGGTCATTTGTTTTATAAAATAAAATTATATGCCAATCAATTTTATTAAAAATTCACACTATTAAGTTAGTTAAATTGTGTTCACAATAAACATACATTAGAGTCGTACATACCATTTTCTTTGACAAAGGCCTATGTTTATGATTGTAAAGTACTTCTGGTGAATGTAACTTACTGAATGATAAACGCTAATTGATTATCACTTCACGTCATGTAAATTTCACATTACTGTATTTAAGAAACAATAGTGAGAAAATCAGTACCAGCGTAGTATTACCTGTAAGTAATCAATAACAGGTTGTGTAAATATGGTCACTAGTACTTTTCACTTGATACTGAAACATGTCCGTGAAGGTGTTAAAATAACCTTGAGACATATCATTGTTCTTGTTCAGGTAAATTTTTTACATTGATTTATTAGTTGTAATTAAGGCTTTCCACAAACAGGTGAAAAGACCTATTGTTTTTTGTTAGCTCACCTGGCCAGAAAGGCCATGTGAGCTTATGCCATGGCGCGGCATCCGTCCGACCGACCGGCGTCAATTTTTCCATTTGAACAATTTCTTCTCAATAACCAACAGGCCAAATGTCATGATATTTGGCTGGTTGGTTGCTGGGATAAAGCCCAAAGTTTGCAAAAAGAAATGACCTAGACCCATATTCAAGGTCACAGGGGTCAAATTTGTTAAAACCTTTAAAGGACTTCTTCTGATTAACCAAAATGCCAAGAAGCATGATATTTTGCTATTAAGTTTCTAGGATAAAGCCCAACAAGATTTGCAAAAATAAATGACCTTGACCCATATTCAAGGTCATAGGGGTCAAATTTGTTAAAACCTTTAAACTACTTCTCCTGATTAACCAAAAGGCCAAGAAGCATGCTATTTGGCTGATATGTTTCTAGGATAAAGTCCAACAAGGTTTGCAAAAAGAAATGCCCTTGACCCATATTCAATGTCACAGGGGTCAAATTTGTTAGTAAAACCTTTAAATGATTCCTTCTGATTAACCAAAAGGCCCAGAAGCGCGATATTTGGCTGATAGGTTCCTAGGATGAAACCTGACAAAGTCTGCTAAAGAAATGACCTTGACCCATATTCATGGTTATATTAGGGTCAAATTTGTTAAAACCTTTAAACGACTTCTTCTGATAAACCAAAAGACCCAGAAGCGTGATATTTTGCTGGTAGGTTCTTATTCAGAATGAAGTCCGTCAAATTTTGATAAAAGAAATGCCCTTGACCCATATTCAAGGCCACAGGGGTCTTGTCTATTTTGTTTAAAGCTTTAAATGACTACCTGTATTTCTGATTAACCAAAAGGCCCAGAAGCATGATATTTGGCTGATAGGTTCATGAGATGAAGCCCTACAAGGGTCTAATTTATTAGCTCTCCTGGTCAGAAGAACCATGGTGAGCTTATGCCATACCTCAGCGTCCAGCGTCCTTCCGTCGTCCGCCATTCAACTTTTCAAGGGGATTCAATTTTGTATAAACGGTGATTGTGGCTCCCTCTAGGGGCAGAGGGGTGGTGCCGAATAGGGGAAATAGAGGTAAAACCTTTAAAATCCTTCTTCTAGCGTAGGGATTAAAGGATTTTATCCTCATTAAGTCTGGAGCATCTTTGGGCCAAGGGGACTCAATTTTGTATAAACAGTGATTGTGGCCCCCCTGGGAGGAAACACAGCAAATTCTTCAAAATCCTTCTTCTGTAGGAATGATAGGATTTTTTCCAAATTTGGGATGAAGCACCCTGGGTGAAGGGGAACCAAACTTGTATAAACGTTGGGTCTGATCCCCCCCACCCCCCCTGGGGCAGAGAGGTGGGGCCCAATAAGGGATATAGAGGAATAGCTTTAATATCCTTTTTCTTCTGTTGGAATGAAGGTATTTTGACCAAATTTGAGCAAAAGCATCCTATGGGGAAGGGAAATTAATTTTGTATAAATGGTGGGTTTGAACCCCCTAGGGAGCAGAGTGGCTGGGCCAAATAGGGAAAATAGAAAAATATATTTAAAATCGTCCTTTTTTAGGAATGACAGGATTATGTCCATATTTGGTCTTCAGCATCCTTAGGTGAATGGGAGCTAATTATGTATCAACGGTGAGTCTAATCTTCCTTAGGGTAGAGGGGCGTGGCCCAATAGGGGAATATAGCAAATTCTTCAAATCCTCTTTTTCCTGTAGGAATGACAGGATTTTGTCCAATTGCATCTAAATATAATCCCTGGCTAACCATGTAATAAATACACATCGTTTCCAGCAACATATGGCTATATCAACTTCAATTTTGCTAACATTTCCAGGTGAGCGATACAGGTCCTCTGGGCCTCTTGTTCTGTTTATTCTTCTTCTTCTCAAGATCTTGTCACCAGCTTTCCTTCTAAATGGTAATAGGTATGTACATGATATTTAGCCAGGTTGTAGGTAACAGTTTGGAGATGTCATGGTCAAATTTTCAAGTTGATCAAAAATTCAATATTGCCGCCATGACCTATAAAGTGATTCTTTTTACCTTTTTAAACAGCTATATCTCCTTAACTATAAATGGTACTGTATTTATACTATAATATATTGATAGAGTGTGGTCTGGGCTAAATTTGACCCATGCCTTGTAATAAGAAAAAAGGTCTAGTTTCTCGCCGAGGGGTCAAAGGGTCAACTGTTTTTAAAACTTTTTCATTTTTTCATTTTTAGCTCACCTGGCCCGAAGGGCCAAGTGAGCATATGCTGTGGTGTGGCGCCCACTCCGTCTGTCTGTCCGTCTGTCAGTTGTCCGGCCGACTGGCGTCCGGCGTCAATATTTTACTTGAAACAACTTCTTCTCAATAACCAAAAGGCCTTGGATGATGATATTTGGCCAGTAACATGCTGGGATGAAGGGCTACCAAGTTGGTCAAATGAATGACCTTGACCCACTTTCAAGGTCACAGTGGTCATATGTGTTATTAGGTAACCAAAAAGCCCAGAATACTGATATTGGGCCTGTAGTATGCATGGATGAAGGGCTACCAAGTTTGTTTAAATGAATGACCTTGACCTTTTTTCAAGGTCACAGGGGTCAAATATGTTTAAAACCTTTAAACAACTTCTTCTCAATAACCAAAAGGCCTTGGATGATGATATTTGGCCAATAACATGCTGGGATGAAGGGCTACCAAGTTTGTTCAAATGAATGATCTTTGCTCATATTCTAGTTCACAGGGATCAAATATGTTTAAATCTTAAAATGACTTGTTCTGAATATTCAAAAGGTCCAGAGTAATGATATTTAGCCAGAAGTATGCTAGGACAGAAGGCTATAAACTTTTAAGGTCACAGGCGTCATTTGTTTAAATCATTTAAAAGATTCAAATGGATTGAACACAGATATTTTGCCTGTAGCTATATATTAGTCCACTTTTAAGATTACAAGTGTGAGATTAATACCAGGTGAGCGATTCAGGCCCATTGGGCCTCTTGTTTAA